ATGGACAAATACTGGGGCAAGTCAGAGGAACACGCAGCCAAGAAGCTCGACAGCGACATGGACGACTACTGGAAGACGAAGGACGAGAACCGTGCGTGCCGTGATGAGCATTTTATAGGATAAACTGAGGATTGACACATAGCGTATGTTACAGCCAAGGAGGACGAGAAGGAGGACGCTGCTGCTGGTGAAGAGAAGGAGGACACGACAGAGGACAAGAAGGATGAATCTGCCGAAGAGCCCGCTGCCGAGGAACCTGCTAAGGAATAAACAGATACAGAAGCTCAAGTGGGCTTAAAACGGAGTGGCTTGGGCCATGTCAGGCCTATATAAGGCTTCGAAGATTGTCAATAGTGACGCCATAAGAAACACGTGGACAGTTGACAAGCTCAACTCTGGCCGAAGGAGAGGGCTGTAATTACGACGCACAAACGACATGAATCTGTATGAATCTTCTCTCAAGCTCTTCAGTACCTTGTGTTGCCTATGGACACACTATTCTCTTCAGCCGAAGACCTCCTGCAGCTTGCCAACAGCAGCTAGCACTAACCAGAGCACTCCCACGATCACTGAGAGCATGGACGAGAAGATAGAAATGCGGAAAGCCAGCAGCTCCGAGCGTTCGCCCAGTCGACCAGTGGCCTCGCCGTACGCCGCAGCGAATACGCCCATTGTCGCGATAGACGTTATACAGAAGGAGCCCAGATATGTGCATGATTTGACTGTGTCATGCAGCCCCACCGCAGGCAACACGCCGAGAATGCCACCAGGTCCCGCAATACCATGCACAATTCCCACTAATAGTGCAGTGCACTAAAAATAAAATAAAAATGAGAAAGTATACGGTTATCGTCATTAGAATAATCTCACATACCTTTTGCGTCTGGGCGTTCTGGAAATCAATAGTAGGCAACTTGAAGCCGCAGCACATGGGCCCAGTATCACGCTTGGTGCCGGCGACATCGGCGTCCGCTTCTTCGCTAGATTGGCTTCGCTCCGACAGCAGCTCTTCCAGGGCTACGACGCTCTCGCACGGACTGTTCTCCAGCGAAATCGTGTCCACACTAGCCGAGTGCGGTCTCGATTTCCTCGGTGAGATTTCCACATCAACCATCACTGCGTCTTCACTGTCGCTATCCTCTTGTTTGGATTTCTTCAGCGCCTCCAGCCTCCTACGTCGCGCAGAGACCTCCTCGTCATCGCTAAACTTTACCACCACGTCATCCGACTTGGCTTCTCCTTCTTTCAGCAGAGTGCGACTCGGAGTTGCAACAGATTCCGTCTCGGTTTCGGTCTCTGTCTCGGTGCCTTCACTCGCCTCTTCCTCTTCGCTCTCACTATCCTGTAAGTTTGCATTCTTCTTTTTGTCATTGGCATTTTTTCGTTTCCTTCGACTGGCACCTCGTCGTCTGCTTTGTCTAGACTTCTTGACGCCTTCGTGCACGCCATAAACACCCAGTCCGATCATGAAGACGCCCACAAGCACGTCTGTGACCACGTTAAGCACCGAAAAATCGAGCTTTCCATCTAATGCGATGAAGATGATGGCCATGATAACCAGTCCGATGCTGTGGCCACATCCCCAGCGGATTCCCAACGCAAACGAACGCCACGAAGACCCGGCAGACAGTGTGGCCAAGGCACTGAGATGGTCGGGGCCCGTGAGCACGTGAATGAGACCGAATAACATACCCGCCAGCGCCAGCTGGACGGTAGACGCCTGTGCCAAGGCAGTCGCCTCCTCCGTCGAGGCCGCGGCGATCTCCACGCGCAGCCAACGATGAGCTGCGACGTCCATGGCAGGAGGCAAAAGGAGCCGCAATGTTCAATAATGACGGCTTACGCAGAAAGCAAAAAAAAAAAAAAGAAGATAAATTTTGTGACCACGGGATTGGACAATGAAAAGCTGGAAATGTATATGATTGGTCAAAAACTCTTTTTGGCCTCCCTAGAGCCAGTAAATCTCAGTCAACAATGCAGCATTTTTCAGTCTCCGGTATTTTTGGACGACGGTTAGTTGCAACTTATAATGAGTTTTTAGCCTTATCCGCCGGCCATTTTCATTCCGGCAAATTCCTTGGCGAGCATGGTGCTCGTGGGGCTCTTCGTGGCTCGTCAGCTGTGTATGGGTCTGGGCTACATCTACCCGTTGTTTGCATCGGTCGAAGCGCTGTGCACCCGTCGCGAACAAGAGCTGTTGCAATGGATCACCTTCTGGTAAAGTTGAAGAATCTGGACTTTTTCGGTGCTACAGTTTTTCATTCACGATTTGCTGTTGCATGTTGCACCGAAATGTCAGGGCGGTGAACGCAATCTTTTGGGTCTTGGAGACCGTGGGCGACACCGCCATTTCCTGGGTGCCGTTCTACCTAGAAGCGAAGATCGTGGCTCTAGCGTGGCTCGTGTTGCCATCTTATCGAGGTGCACTGCTGCTTCACCAAAAATGGTTGGCTCCAGCTTTCCAGCAACACGAACAAGTCATCGACTTCACTATTGCCGACTTGAAGCGCCGAGCTGGAGAGAAAATGGTGCAGGTCTGCAAAGATACAGCGGTGATCGCACTGAGAAACAGCTCGGATGTCGTTGCGCAGAGCCAACAGTATGTCGCGGCGCAACTGGTCCAACAGGCTTTGGGCAAATTGCAACCTGCCCCTGTTAACACTACACCGAGTGAAAATTTGCGTCTCCCTTCCCTTCTGTCCTCAATGACTACAAGTGCAGAGTCGAAAGAATGCGTTCCAGTGTCCCGAGCAGAGGAGAAAGAGTCTAAGACCTCAAAGAAACAAGCAAAAGACGAGTCTGAGCCACAGGAGAAGGCGACAACAGCCTTAAGTCGAACTGAAAAGGCCAAACAGGTGCTGGATCACTTCAAGAAGCTCATGGTGAAGGGATTTCAGCTGAAATATCACCCGTCGGCTGGAGTTGTAAAGCACCGTGCGTTGCTGCTTGAGTCGTCGAATGCTCGATACGTGAGCTTCATGAGTGCTAGAGATACAGGATCTATCGACAGCAAGAAGAAAGCTGCACGACTACTGCTTCACAATCTGCGGCGTGTATCAGGCGCTGTGGTTGAGGAGTGTGCGTTATTCGCCACCATGGTCGAAGAGGAAGAAGTGGATGCTTCTGTAGCTTTTGTCCTGGATAATGGTAAGGCTGTGATGCTGTTTGAAGCCGAATCTCACAAGAGTCGAGACTTGTTAGTCGCGGGGCTTCGTCTACTGATCACGGAGCACAAGAAGCGCGATACTGCAGCACTCAACAAGCTGTGCGCGGCAGTAGAACGCACCATGATGCACCAAACCTTCATGCAACTCCGTGCCAATGTTGAGCGACCGCGAAAGTAAAAAAAAAAAAAAAAAAAATCGAACCGATTTGCTGGATAAAATCGTTTGAATAAATATTTTGCTTTTCTATCTGTCGCCTATTGTTTGCCAAATCACAGTCGGCATTTTCTCTCGAAATCGAGCTGTTGGTGTGCGTTGGCACGAATATTCCATGTTAAAGGTTTCGTCTTCAGGTGTCGGCTCTTCTGTGTCTGTACCTCGAACACTTTCGTCTCTAATTTTTCCTTCTTTGATTTCCAACCGTTTGCGGAAGATTTTGCGCCGCATTTTCAGGATTTTCGGCGTGATCTCGTACAACTCGATGTCGATTTCGAGCTGGTTAACTGGATGCATGCCGTAATAGTCCAATCTGAACGACGTCTTGATTCTGGACGAGTTGTTGTTGGTCTGGAGCCACGCCGCCACGCGTCTGGAAATGATAATCTGTCCGCCAAATCCAACGTCACCGACCTCACGACCGATGTATTCCGACGCTCCGATGTAGAGAGCTTTGCCTGTCACGCGATGAGTCTGCATGATCAAGTTGCCTTCTTCCCCTACATTTGTGTCATGAATACCCATTCGCACTCGAATTCCCCGGAAAAGGAGCTGAGGCTTGAGACCAATTGCCACTTCGGTTTTCACGGATGGCACAAGTCCCTCGAGTTCAGACGGCCACTTCACATGTAGCAACTGCAACTGAACCTCGAGGCAATAGTTCACGGCGTCGGAAATTGTGTGGAACGCCAACTGAAATGCGTCGCCGGCTGTCGTGATTTCGTACCCGTTGTACTTGGGTAATAGAGACCGCAACAGGTCATCGTGGAGGTCTTGTGCTGTATCGATGACGGACTCTGGGGCTTGAGCCCACAGCGCACTCGAGCCTTCGATGTCTGTATTTACGAATACTGGCTTGTCAGGCGGGGCAGTGGCCTCGTACGTTGCATACGAATCGTGTCTTCGATTGGCACGCAAATTTGCCCACTCGGGCGAATTTTTCACATGTGTCGGAATAATTGGAGACAACATTCTGATGCAACATTGCTGACTTCCGCCCATAACGAGCGCCTGTGCTGCACCGAATAGATAATACAACATGGTGATAATACCCACCAGATAATCTGGAATGGCGTCTACCTCATCCTGTGGCATACACAGCAACGCCAGTTGCAAGAAACAATATGGCAGTGTGAAAATGGCACACACAATCATCAACAACTTCAGCCGTCGATACAGTGGAGACGCCATGACCACTCCGTGAATATGTTCATGCTTCCGTCCTGAGAATCTGAGCACCACAAGAGCTCCTGTTGCGTAAAATACCGCGAAAATGAGACCTCCTAGCTCCACAAAGCTCAAATACTTGTACGTTCGGTTGTACCCATCGTGAATAATGACAATCGCGAGTCCCGCGCCAAGAAACAGCCCCACAATCACCCATCCACGCCATACATACTTGAGAATCGTCGCTTTCTCGTTCTCTTCGCCTCGGTCCAGTGTCCGCATCGCGAGTTTAAACAATTCCCTTGAAAGTAGAAAAATCCAATACGCACTTAGGATAAAGAACAGATTTTCCGCTAGCAGCAGCGCCGTCAGCGCTGTACTCAATGGTACGTCGTCTTGGGTCAATTTCGTAATATAAGCGGCCTCTCCGCCGTCGCCCTTGCTGTCGTTGTGGAGTAATTGGCCCACCGCCACCTCGGTTTGTGTCATATCGGAGCCGGAGCCGGAGGCGTCCTCCACTTGGTCCATTACCTTGCCGATTGCGTTGATCAAGTAAGCGTAGAAGACTCCGCCCGCTAAGGCGTGTAACGTGCTGCAGAAGAGGAACATGGCGATGACAAATCGAACGGTGGAACGAAACATGTCGCCGCCCAGTTTGCGCATGTGGTAGGCGGCCAACATGCTCATGCTGCACGAGAAGAAGAGCGTGAAGCAGTACGTGTACATCCAGGCCATATTGACCGACGCGTTGCGCACCCACACCGCCTCCACAGTCGTCATGATGGAGAATGGCGGCGAGTCCGCAGTCCGCTATTGTGGCGTTGTGACAACCGGCAATTTGGAGAATGACGGTCGCGGACTTGAGAATTCTAATATAGAGGAGAATGATTTTTTAGAGGAATGCACGACACGGATTTGCATGCTTTAAACCCTCTTTTGTGAAGAATATCGCGTGGCAATTGAGCCGGGTTGCAAAACCGGATTTTCTCTGCTGTACTTTTCTGGTGGCTCAGCTGCAGTTACCAACAATTTGGCAAATTCGTGGTTAGTTGCTAACTGGTACATGTATGGCAATGGAGGCCTAAGCAAAATAGCAACGTGTGCTGTTGTAGGCAACACCTCTTGAAGGTGTCACTTCTCGCGGTCTTCAGACTTCAACTAAGGTTAGTCGATGGGGTTTGCAGCGATTACAGTACTGCATCCTGTTTTCGCGGGAGTACACCTTATAGAATTTGCAAATATATCAGGTTTTATGTAAAGAATTGTAGCACATTTGGCAAGAAGATAACTATTTCCGAAAGTTTATCAAAGGGCGGAGGGTTGGAAAACGGGGTACAGTACTGTACGATACATCTCGATTATGGGACGCAGTTTTATGCCTAAATCACAACAGTAACCAGCCGGTCTGAGAATGATTAATCCGGAATGTAAGTTTTGATCTGAAAATTCAATTTGGGGTGTTTGAAGCACTACTCGCGGCTTTCTGCTGCTTCGTGCCGGGTGCGTTGCTCCTTCCTACTCTCCCCCAGTAGTAGTGATTAATGTGGCGTCGCTGCAAGTCCTCGACGTTCCTGTCCAAGTCGCAAAGTTTGCTTTCCAGCTGCGATCCAGTGGAATCGGGATCATCATGATGATCGTTATGGGATATGAGAACTGCCAGTAGGTGTGACCCTGCATGCTGTCAACAGACTCACGGCCAGTCGAACAATCACGTGTATGTCGTCACCGCTACTCGGGCGTAAAGTTGATCACGTGTGCTGGATTCTTCATGCTGAGATCAGTCTACATAGGTGATAAAGCAATTGCCAATCTGTAAGGGAAATGTTTTTGTCAAGAATGAAGTCATATCGCTGTGCGTACTGCAACATAGCGAAGCAAAGCGTTCTGAGTAAACACGATGCCGTCTGTGGTGTGCTTCGACGCATCTTCCACTTTACACCCCCCTCCCTGTGCACGCATAAAATCTATGAAGTTGACATTAACTGTCAACGTCCAGAAAATCGACATTGAAATGTCAAGCGCGGCACTCTCCATTGCTGGTTCGACGTTAGGCTTTCCAGCCAATGTCAGCCGTGGTCTTAATAGATGGCCACGTTGAAACGGAAGGCTTCCGCTGGATAAAACTCGAAGTGCACCACGCCTCTAGTCAATCTTATCAGAGTTTTTTGTTTACCTCGGAACGGGTGCAGTATGTTGTACTTGTATCCTGAAAAAGAGATGAAAAGGATAGCGTTTAGTTGACAATAAGGATGGAATTCAGTCGGCCAGTATAGGACAGTATACAGTATACACATTCCCCAAATCCAAGCAGCTTCAACAAAATTCACTTAACTCCGACAGAATCCACTTAGGTGCGATCTTTATCCATTACCGATCGGCCAAGCACACTCACAAACTTTCTCCGAAGATGCAGCGGCTCGTATTGTCCGGGCGCCGCTACGTCCGTCCAGCTCGCCTCACCGCCGCAGTATCCGCTTCATGGCAGTCATCCGCGACACCATCGCGGTCTCTAGATGGCCCGCGTCATTACGCGAGCGCGAAGCCGCTGCCGTCTCCGTCTCGCATGAAAGTGGCGGACCTTTTGGAGGTGTCCAAGCAGTTCCGCAGTAAACAGACCAACTACATCCTCGAGGACCAGACGCTGGACGAGGCTGTGAAATGTCTGGCACAAAACGAGAACTCAGCGACGCTCGTGGTGGTTAACAAGCAGCACCAAGTAGTGGGGCTTATCACGAACAGACTGGCACTAAAGAGAGTGATGCGTATGCGCTCTACCGGCAAGCGATCAGACTGGAACATGAAGGTAGGGCGAAGCAGTACAGCGTATAGCCAGCTCTACTTGTTAGAGGCTGCGTTTCTATGTGGATACTGATGATATTTTGTTGTAAGGTGTCGGAGGTGGCGATTCCAGCGCGAAAAGTGCTTCATGTGTCGCCGGAAGATTCGCTGGAAGACGTAAGTAAGCGGTAGAACAGTAGTTTACTGGTAGATTATTAACTGCTATGCTTTAGTGCCGAGCAGTGATGGCGCTGTCTGGAGTAGGGGAGTTGCCAGTGTTGCAAGGGAGTAAGTTACTGGGTACAGTGTCATTAACTGACATAGCGTCGTTGATCCATCGCCATGACGCGCAGTTAAATCCCGATCCTACCAGGTAAAACTCAGTCTTATTTAAGGTCATATTAACTAAATCTAACCCTAATTTGTCGTATCCAGCGCTAAATCGGACTACATAAACTTGATCCTACCGCGCAAGGGACTACCCGCCAACACGTCGCTGGACCAGACTGTCGTTCAACAAGAGAACGCCCACCCAAACTACTGGACGTACTACCTGCACTCGTTCGCCATGTCGATCCCCCACCCTCAAAAGAAAGACACCGGAGGAGAAGACGCTTTTTTCTTAGGTGTCGTGCCCCACGGCGTAGAAGAAGGCGGCGCCTCCGCTCCAGTACTAGAAGACCGTCCTATCGACATCAATCCGTCCATTTCAACCGTAACACACGGCACTCAGGGGCCCGTGGACGTCCTAGCAATGGGCGTCGCCGACGGTGTGGGCTCGTGGTTCGAGAAAGGGGTGAGTGCTCGTCAGTACGCAGAGGAACTCATGGTCGCAGCTCATCAAGCAGTGCAGATCTCGTACGCCAAAGACCACGACATTGAGCCTTCAGAAGTGCTCCATGCAGCGTGGTCTACTGTCTTACAGAAGGAGATCGTGGGTAGTTCCACTGCCTGTGTGCTTGCCTTGGACCCAGAACAGGGAGAACTACACGGAGTCAACTTGGGAGACTCTGGCTTCCTCATTATCCGCGACAAAACGTCAGATCTCGAGACTGCGCGACTACGCGGCACATTGGACGGCTCACTGATGCGCAAGATCATCAACCGGGACCACGACTTGACGCCTGCTGGACGACGCAAAGGCGCACACGTGACGTATCGCTCTCCACAGCAGCTACACTACTTTAACTGCCCCTTCCAGTTAGGCTTCGCTGGCGCTGAGCTTGTGAGTGACGTAGTGGACGACTTGGCTAGAGGAACGCACTCTCCGATGAGAGAGAAGCCGCTTTTTGAGACTCCGGAGAACGGAGTGAGACTGCGAGTGCCTGTGCTCGAAGGAGACCTCATCATCCTGGCCACGGACGGACTCTTTGACAACGTGGATGAGGACGTTCTACTGGAAATTGTACGAGCCGAGCCTGATCTCGAGACTATGACACGGAAACTGGTACAGAAGGCCTACGATCTGTCGCTTGATCGGTCCAAAGACTCGCCTTTTGCTCGGCTTGCGAAGGAGAACGACTTGATGTGGGGTGGCGGCATCCCGGACGACATCACGATCATCACTGCACGAGTCACGAAGCACAAGACAAAGGAGGAGAAGATCGCAGAGGCGGCTGCAGTGGAAGCAGCGATTGCCAGCTATTAGTTATCGAGAGATCCCTGTGAAAAAGAAACAGAAAACACGACGAGAAACTTACTCGACGTCGTGTGTTCTGTGTTGCATAAAGTTAGAAAGGTCATCAAGTGGCTCACGTGTCAGCAGCGTCTGCTACGGCCCTGGTCTCGTCGCTAGCAGCCTGCTCTTCCGTCTGCTCAGTACCGGATGCATCGCTGTCCTCCTCTTCCTCGGAGATGACGACGATGTCGTCATTACTCTCTGGTTTCTCCTCTTCCTCGTCATCTTCTTCCTCCTCGTACCCCCCAGTGTCTTCTTCATCCTCATCGTCGTCCAACTCCACTGGCGCTGCAGCGGACGACCCTCTCAGATACAAATCTCGCACTCGAATAGCGTCCCGCATGAGCGACAAGACCGACTCCTGGGCACACGCGTCCACTAGGATGGCGTCTCGAGCGTCTTCGTGGCCGTAAAACAGCTCCTCCCCGTACTTCTCCAGAGCGGTGAGGCATAACTTACTGCGTGCAGAGTCGTCCAGCTGCATCAGAAGTTGTCTGGCTTCTCTCTGGTTCTGCGCTCGAGCGATGGCTCTCGCAGTCTCCTGTTCGTCGTCATATTCCTCTTCTTCGTCTTCTTCCAGGCCACTGTACTGTTGGTACGTTGCAGGAGCAGATTCCTCCTCTTCCTCGTCCTCATCGACGTCCACGATGTCGATTTCATTGTTTTGAGACGTTGGAGGCTCACTATCGTCATTTTCTTCTTCATTTTCGTCTTCTTCGTCCTCTGGTGGAGCCAAATCCTCGACGTCTTGGTTGTTGACGTCTCCGTTGTCCATATCCGGGTTGTCTGGGCCCATATTTAGGCCAGATTCGTCCAGATCTTGGTCTTTTTCACCATTTTCCAGACCCAGCGCCAGATCTGCGTCCATATCTTCTTCTTGTTGCGGGAATTCCTCGTTGTCGTCGACATCGGGCAGCTCTGCGTCCAGTAGTTTGCTCTTTTTGCCCAATGGGGACACCAGGACATCGTCCAGCGTCGTCTCGCTGTCCTTTAAGTCCTCCACGCTGTCGCCTTCGAACGCTTCAGAGGCCGAGCGTTTTCCAGCTCCAGAGGGAGATAACGAAGCGGACAAGTTGCCAGGTAGGTTGGCGACATCACTGTCTACAGCTGGAGCTCCCGCGGAGGCGCTGGAAGGCTCTGTCATGGAGATACACACGCGTCAAGAGAGGGGAAACTACGCGGCGGTTGCTCTTAGCTTTTGATCCGTAATGACTTGACGTTAGAAAAGCAATCGTACTTAATGGACCTTGCAGAAAGAAACGCAATATGATTGGTTGAAAAAAAAAACTCGTCAACTTCAAAGTTGTCTTATTTAATTGATAATAATTCGATCGTCGTATGAATGCTATATAATACTGTAAAACAATGATCTCAAGACTCGACCGGGTCGGCATTTTGTCAGCTCATCGAATGTGAGAGTGCAAAAGATCAGCATAACTTGCAGTTTAGTTGAGCTGTCCAAGCTTTCAATTCTGGCAAACCAGCTTTTTGTATTACTCTTCAGTTTGCCCGATTATCAGTCTTAGTAGTCTAAGTTTAACACATTTCCAAATAAATCTTTAGCACTTTATGACTTTTGAGCCACCCTTGTTGCACTCCTTCTGATACGCCAATGCTTTTTACGTAGTCGAGCTAGTACAAGAAACAACTTTAAATTCTTCTACCACCGTTCCTAGGCTAATAACCTGTCCTTATCTTATCAAAAAAGCGAATTATGAGATCTTGTCATCTACACGGGTGGAGCTTCTGCAAGTTGGTGCGGAGTTAAATCTTCATAATACTGTTTTCGTTCACTCCAGCTAATCAGCAAACAAACTTGGGCTCACAAGTTTAGAAACATTCGGCAAAAGGACTTAATAACATATCTTGATTTTCCCATACAAATTTAGTTGTCGATGCGTATAATCTGCTGTGAATGCTCTGGTTTCTCTAGCTACAAATTTTGCATTCCAAAGAGCGGTCTGGAGTCACGTTAGATGGAGAGATTAACGCCGAAACGAATTTAATACACGCCTCGAATGTTAGCTGCTGACTGGAATGTTAAGGACATTTACAAAAAGAAAACCCAGCATATTAAAAATTCAGTTAGGCTCAGCCTACAGCGCTTCCAGGACTATAGATTCGTACCCCACCCACCCACCCACAACCACACACAAGGCACTGGGTCAAAGGAAGTGTGTTGTTGGTATACAGTCGATATTGACATGGAGCTACTCAGGCTTGGTGGGCGACAGGAGCGTGCATCAAACTAAGTGATTAGTCACTACCACCAGGCTTAGAAAGTTGATTGCCGTATCCGGAGAATGGGCACTGGACGAAACCTGTGCTTCACTGCCTGTGACGCACTGCCGCAGTGCCCATTTAAAATCTGAGAAAGTGACCTACCCTTGAGAGAATCATGTGGTTGAAAGCGTACGTGTAATCATCTGGATGAATCACTGCAATAATCATTTGAGAATCATGTGGTTGAAAGCGTACAAGTAATCATACTGGACGAATCACTGCAATAATCAATTGGGTTTCGAATTTACGTTCCAAGCTATCAAAAGGTGGCCTTTTGTAATGCTAAAATTCGCGAGCTATTCCCAAGTTACCACAGCTTACAACTCTTTGTCCAAATCGGTGCGTATCCGTATCCTTCAAAAGAGCCAATGCGCGCAATCACCACGAAAATTGTTCACGCTAATGGGGTCATTTTTTAAAAGGCAAAAACGGCTACAGCAGGTACGTTGCTATTTTACATGTATTCTGAAGTGGTTAAAATACAGCTGAGAAACCTTTCACTAATGAAATAGTTATGATCAACCTGCTGGCAACCCTCACAACAAGAATCTGCACTGTAGCACTGGCTCCGCTCCATGTCGTCGCGTTTGCAGCAAGCATGTCAGCTTATCTAAGTGGCCCACGTGTTCGTTTAGTCCAGCGGTAATTGTACGGCTGTAAGCATATGTACGTTTTAATGCTATCTCATCATGTAGACTTCATTGTGAAGATTGTTGACATGACTGTTAGTATTTAGAAACAAGATAACAAGCGCTCGCGTAAACAAGAGGAAGCAATATTGAGCTTGTCAGTACGTTGCGCTTAAACTTACTTAATGCCTCAGGCGCATTGGCTTCTGCCTTCACGAGTTGAAACAGCGTTACCCAATTCTTCTTG